TTTAATATAGACTATACACAACGCTTTCAAAATTGTGATACAGTTAAGTGCTTTTTTTAGACATTTTTTCGCCAAAAATGGGTGTTGCCATCTTCCACATGATCAGAAAAAGTAAAAAACAGGAAAATTATATTGCACCAAGTCCAGATCTCCATATAAATGTGTTAAAATCACGTCCATTCTAAAGGTGCCCCAAATGTCCAATGTACATCACTGCCTAAAGCTGTCCCTAACCCTAAAAAAAAATACTCTCCAAAATTTTGTATTTTTCAGTGGCTTGTCTATTTTACAATTATTGTTGTGCAGATAAGAAAGATAAGTGCTGTGCCGGTATAACGTCTCAACCTTTTTAGGATTTTTTGCATAGTGACGAGTGAAGAGTGAAATAGTGATGGCACAAAAATTTGGCGGTGACTTCCGAGCTAGTCGATGTCCTATTAGTTGTAAAGTTGACCACTAATCGATTTGAATTTACTAATCGACTGGCCAACTAATCGATTAATCGATTAGTTAAATAAAATGGTCTATCAGCTAATCGATTGAAAAATTTTTATCGATCTGTATCATTAGACTTCAACAGTTCGACGAAGCGATTTTCTGGGCATTTACCAAATTATGCGCCATCACCATCACTATTTCATTTCGGGGGCACTTAAAGATCACTGAACCCAGTGATCATCACATCACGTGAAATCATACAATTACGTCATTTGTTTACTAGCACTAACAAAATCGTACTATCACCTACCCTAACACTAACCCAGGGACATGGAAAAATTTTGATATCAATTTGTAAAAATTGTTTTGATAACAACCAAATATTGTTTTTTATTTCGGTATAAAATTTTGACTAAAAAAAAATATTTAGTAATTATTATGGCTAATTTAGTTTTTTGGACCTTTTTTTTTGGTCACTAAAACTGTAAAATTTGATCAAATTTTATTGACAAGCCCTTAAAATTATAATTCTTTGTTAAATATTGGACAATCAATTGACTTGCACGTCACTGCAAAGTTCCCAAAAATAAAAATCACATAAGAGAACTAACGTCTAACCGATTACCCCACCCTCCAACCGATTACTTTTTTTCAGAAAAAAATAATTATTAATGGTGTGATGGGCAATCACATGCTTATCAGTGCAAGGTGCTTTATCAGCACATATTATTGATTAATATCTGTTGTCATATAACAATTAAGTCCTCTTACTTTGTATATACAAATGTAATTATTATTATTATTAAATAAATAGATAGATTTAAATATAATTATTATTTTTAATTAATTATACGTATATTATTTTTTAATGGTTATTTAAATTATTGTTTAGTTATTATGAATTCGACAAAACTTCCTGCTGAAATAACCAATTCAAATAATGAAAGTTCCAAAAATTGAAAAGCATCTAAGCCTTATCAATGCACTTTATGTCAAATAAAACGATTCAAAAGTATAAAAGGGCTTTATCAACATGAAACTCTCAAATACTATAATTACAAAATACTACCATCCGATATTCCTTATTTACCTCCAAATACAATTCAACAATTTCGTGAAATATTAATATTTTTTATTAAAAAACGATTGCCACTTCATTTTAAAAAAACAGGAAAACAAACAATCAAAATACCATGTAGTGAAAGTCAATTTGTTGGAGTATTTGGGCCATGGATTCAACGTTACTCATCTTGTAAAAGAAAATATACATGTTTTTTTAAAGGTCAAAATGCAGATGCGACAATGGGAATGATATTGCAAGACAATGAATGGAGTGGTCAATGGTATGAATTTGAACAAAAGACATATATAATGTTATATATTGCATCAACTTCTGATATTCAAAAAATACCTGAAATGAAAGTAGAATGGCATACTGAAACAATAACTGATGCTCATAAAAATACTATTTCTACAGGATTTATCATTATTAAATTTCAAATAGATACAATTAGCTATCAAATTCAACGGTAATTAAATATTATTTTATTAATTTTATTAACTAATTACTGTATTAATATTTATTAATTTATTTAGAGAATAAACAATAATTTCTACTTCATATGAATATATTTAGGTTTTTTAAAAGCTAATGGTATTCTATTTTTAATGTAATATAATAATCTATTCTCATGCTGTAAAATTTCTAAAATTGCTGAATATTGAGTTTTATTTTTTCCACCATCTTTTAAAGTTCTATTAAAAAAGTATGTTGTTTGTTGATGGTTTTTTTTTTCAACTAAAGCACATGAAAATGCTTGAAAACCTAATTTGTTATGATTTTGAATCATATTTGAAATATGATTACAAAGAAGATGCATATAAGGTGTTATATCAGATGGTTTATAAAGTCCTTTAATAAAATTTGGTAAATTAGGTATTCCTGAAGTTGGTGTTAAAAATAGTTCTATCCAGTTTTTTGCCTTGTTTTCAAATTCATTTGCAGTA